CCTTAAGTTGTTCCCTCTGTTCCTTAAGTTGTTCCCTCTGTCGTTCCCTCTGTCGTTCCCTCTGTTGTTCCCTCAGTTGTTCCTTAAGTTGCTCCCTCAGTTGTTCCCTCTGTTGTTCCCTCTGTCGTTCCCTCAGTTGTTCCTTAAGTTGTTCCCTCTGTTGTTCCCTCAGTTGTTCCCTCTGTTGTTCCTTAAGTTGTTCCCTCTGTTCCTTAAGTTGTTCCCTCTGTCGTTCCCTCTGTCGTTCCCTCTGTTGTTCCCTCAGTTGTTCCTTAAGTTGTTCCCTCTGTTGTTCCCTCAGTTTTTCCTTAAGTTGTTCCCTCTGTTGTTCCCTCAGTTGTTCCCTCAGTTGTTCCTTAAGTTGTTCCCTCTGTTGTTCCCTCAGTTTTTCCTTAAGTTGTTCCCTCTGTTGTTCCCTCAGTTGTTCCCTCAGTTGTTCCCTCAGCTGTTCCCTCAGTTGTTCCCTCAGCTGTTCCTTCAGTTGTTCTTTAAGTTGTTCCCTCTGTTCTTCCTCAGCTGTTCCCTCAGCTGTTCCCTGAGCACAGCTCAGTGCTGCTGCAGGAACAGTAGGAAGGCCTGATTAAATGAGTTTTATATTTATGTTTTCTGCTCCAGCATGTTATCAGCAGATCTTTTATCATGAAGGGAATCAGACTTTTCTCTACAGTTCTGTTGAATAAAGAAATACTGCTGCAGTTAGCAGAGATCTGCACAGTTTAACTGCAGGAACCACTTCTTTACAATCAAACATTTGTTCCATCAGCAGCTGACGGAGCTCCTCAGACCCAAACACAGACGAGCTGAGGCTGAGATCTTTGTCAGGTTAAAGTGTAGAGATGAGCTTCCATCAGGCCCACCCTGAGGCTGTGGGAAGGTAACCAGCTGAAGCACCTTTAAATTAGATTATTATGGATGTTAATGTTAATTTTAACTTTTAATTTTTCTGTTTCTAGTGTTTTATGGAGTTATTGTTTCAAGTTAAAACTCTTGAACTGGTAGAGCTCAGATCTGATGGTCAGTGAGAGCTGACCTCTGACCTGAGAGGAGACACTCTATAAAATATTAAGTTATTTTGGTTTTATTTATTTTTTTAGAACTCACAATAAAATACTTTGTGTTCAGATCTCAAACTTGAACTAATAAAGTTCAACTTCCTGTTTTCAAAATAAAGTTTGTTGGCTTCAGGCTGCAGAAATCTTTACAATAACTTCAGTGTACAACAGAGCTGCAGAACACCTGATGTGGTTAGTAATGGACCTCGATACAAACAACACACACACACAGACACACACACACAGACACACACACACAG